CTATATTTAGTACAACACATAATCAGCTGACATGAATTTGGATATCTCTGTTAAACTCAGCAGTATAGAACAAGTTTTTATCTTGTGGCATCTAATCCAGAGCATACACAAGACATATATAACAATCCTATAGGTATATGGAGAAATATTCTGATACAGCCAGAAGTCTATAATGGGATTTCCTATGCCTGGATACGTCCCTCCAAACTCTACAGGTAACTATGATCCTGTCAGTTTTCCAGCCTGTTCAGATGGAAAGAGTATTTCTAACATGTCAGTTTTCTGACTAACCTGTCACAAGAACCTATGACACCATGCTCTGACAGCTCACCACTGCTTCACATAAAATATGAAGGCTTTCCTGCAATCACAAGTTGGATTCATATTCCATAACAAGAGTGGGTGGGATGTATGTGTAAGTATAGATAGAAGTGTACATGTTTACATAGACAGACACACAAATCCAAAAGCATCTGCCTGTGAACAGTTAAAATTACAAATAGAAAAAAGCAGGCATTGCCAAGTTGCATATTTCTCCTAAGCTGAGCATCCATTGTTTCCTAACTTTGTGGAGGATTTCTTTGTAGTCCATGACTACATAAGTCTGTGCACCACCAGTGGAGTAACAACATTGCTGAGAAATTGACTCCTTGCCTGAAGAAACTTTGCACTTGTTTTAGAGAGAACTGTCTCCAGTTTCAGTCACAGTCATTAATTTACTTTGTGATTTTCAAATGACTCATATTCCTTTCAGTAAAACAGGCTAAAGAACATAACATCAAATCCCCAAATAGGTACATATTTTTTGCTCCAAGTCCCTCTGGAAAGTCTGGAAACACAAGAACTGTTCAAAATCTTGTCATCTTTTCATAGAAATGAGGGTTCTGTGTTCTGCACCACACACTCAGATCTGTCAAGTGATTGCTGGATTTTCCTGATGGTCGAACTAATTTCTATCATATTTGCATAGTTTAAATTCACAAGACCATAACCTTAGCCTGCAGATACCTACTGACAGTGATGCCCAATCTCAGTTGATTCCACTAGAAGCAGTTTCCATCAAGTTATTTCCACTAGAGGAGTGTGACTGATTTGTCAGAATGGGAAGATTCATGGGGGAAAAAAAGGCAAATTAAAATCCAAAATATAACTTTGAAAGTTAAATTTTGTTAAAAAGGAAAAGTTGCCTGCTTCTTGCAAAACACAGCTGTTAACTCTTCTGCTCTTGGTTTTCTCAAAGGGCTGGTAAGAAATTCAGCATAATCTAAACTACACTCTCTGGGGTTCAGCTACCCTCTGGAGCTAAGGACAGTCACAGTGCTGTGGTGACTTAGTCTATTAACCGATTAATTAAACTCTCCAATATATCAATTGGCAGATGCACAGTTACACAACACCCTCAGTTATGAACACAGAGAGAGCCACAGAGACTGAGACCCAGCCCTCTCCCTGGAACATGGGAAGCACTTTGCTGCAGTGCTCCACAGACCCACAAAATCAAATCTTATATTCTCCATGGTTTAAACATACCAAATGCTCCCCAGCAGCCTGCAGAGAGTGCATTATCTTCATTTTGGGTGCTCATGGACATCAAAGCTACATCTTCCTGCCTGCAGAAGAAACAGACAGCACTGTCCTTGCAAACAGCAGGGAAAATTTTAGTGACCTGGAAGAGACCACATCCCCCATACAAAGAAAAACAAACACTCCACATTTCCCATAGCCCTATTTCTTTTCCCTTCTTATATTTCCAAAATGAAAAGAGTCCCTTCTGCTCTCAGTGGGGGAATCTTTCCTCACAAGCAGATAAACCTCAAGTTGAAATTGAAAGCAAACAGGTCCCTGAAATGTTTTTCTTTAAGACTGAGAACATCAGTGTCCCCAACTCATATTGGACTAGCTAAAGCTAATCTTGGGTCTTCCAGGTGCAGAAAAGTAGCTGGGAAACTAAGCTGTGTATAAAAATGGTTTAAAATGTATTTCTGACTTTTCCATTTATTTAAGGCACCATCTCAAAATCTTTCCCGTGTTTCTGGGCATCCTCTTCAATCCTTGTAATCCCAGCAAATGCCTCTTAGGCAGCCTTCCCCCTCCCTGACCTATTTCTAACAGTGATTGCACTAAAGACTTCACTGTATTTGTGGCTGTTTAATCATTCATATCCCAGCAGCCTGGAAAATGCCACTGCTCTCTAACTCTAAAGTCTGCCTGAAATGAAGAATGGGTCACTGGGAACTGGCTGAGATGCTGCATTTACAGGCACATCAAATACAGAAACCTCTTTTACTTTGGGACACACTGACATCAGCTGAGAGATCTGATCTCAGTGGGTTTTAAATCACACTGTAGCTGGGACTTCCAAAGCAGCCTGTGGGATTTAGACACATATCTTCCATTACTATCAGAGCATGTTAAAGCAAATGGAAGATACACGTGTGAAATCTCCCAGAGTGGTTTGAAAACCAAGCTACTGTGCAAGATGTACAGCTTTCTCCATAAAAATAGCTTCCAGCTATCACTGCAGTAGAAGTAATGGAATTCTGTGAAAAGATCCACACTGAGGCCTGGACCTCTCATCCTTCAGTAAAATAGGGAGAAATATGGCTGGAGTGCTTTCTTTACACTGCTAAACCCTCCCCAGTTCAAAAGCATTTAGAAGAGAAATTGGTTTGCTCTGGATCTGCAGGACTGTCCTGACAGATGAGGCTTCAGCCCTGCACAGAAAAGGTTTCCATTCCAGTCACAGGAATTCCTTCTTGCCCCAGGCTCTCTGGGAGGTTAAATCACAGCAGTTTTGTCAGGGGAAGGATGATATGGAGCAAGGAGCAGACATGACCAAATGCCATTTTCTGTCATTTAAGACTCAGCAACAAGGAGCTCTGGTTAATTTTGTTTTGTTTTTGTGGGGTTTTGTTTGTTTTTTGTTTTATTTTTTTGTTTGGTTTTTTTGTTTGTTTGGTTGGTTTTTTTAAGAGAAAAAAATAAATAAAAAGATGGCTAAGACACAGGCCTTGGTAAGAACATGGTTTTGTACAGCTCAGAAAATGTGTCTTCATTTTCTGAGAGATGGTAAGAAACACCTTCCTACAGACCACAACAACAGTGTGCTTATTAGTCAGCCAGCCTTTCCTAATTGCACTATTACCTTGTAGCAGGCTAGGAGAAGGCAACATGATTAAGTGAAGTTCCTCCATTTTAGCAGCCCACTGCCTTCACACCTGATTTAGAAGACAGTGGGAGAAGAGCATTTTCATTTACACACTACCCATGCAGCTTTGATCACTATCCACTCACACACCACAGTCATTTCCCTTTATTTCTTGCATTTTAGGAGTTCTGAGAATAGGTGACATTCTGTGACAATGCCAGAGTAATTGTATTTTAATTGCTATTTCATGATGGCAGAGATAGTTCAAACCTCAGGTTAATTTCAGGTGTCAGGTATCAGAAAGCTGGAGATGGTCAGCTCAGCATTTCCAAACTTACTGCAAGACTCAGACTGGGCAAATGTTAAGCTGAGTCCAGGGATCTGCCCATAATTAATTTTTTTAATGCATGATAAATCAACTGAAATGGAAAACTACTGTAAAGGAAAGTTTGATCAAGAAGATGCTAGATTAACTTTTGCTCTGCTGAGATGTTACAAACTGTGCAAGGCAATTTCTGAAACAGATAATGAGCATTTGAAGAAGAGTGGTTAATCACACTTAAGATAACAACCTCAATGAGCCAGCTGTCAGCAAAATGATGGATTCAGCTTCTATCCCATGTTTACCTGTAGAAAACTCTGCTGAGAATAAGGAGGATGCTCACAGCTCTCTCTAGACAGAAAACTCATGATAACGGAGGATTTGAATAGGCAGAATATTGATTTTCATGAAAAGTGAACTAGTCTTCTTTTTATTTTTATCACATAGCTGGTCAGTTTAACTCACAAGGAAAGTAAATAAATTCATGTAAAATGTTAAATAAACCTTTTATTCATTTTTATCAACTCTTTTTATCAATTTATTTTTCTTTCTCTGTTGAGTAAATTTAGTTTGCGTTGAGAAGATGTTCATAAAGGCCATTCAAGTAGGAGTCACAGAGAAAACAGATACTGTAACTTTTGAACAGAAGTACTGAAAAGGAATGCAAAGAGTTTGGAAACCAAAATTTCCACATTTGCCTGAGGGACTTAAGGGATAAAAGTAGCTCACATGAGACTCATGTCTCCCTCTGTGTTTATGGTAGAGCTGGTACAGAGGAATGCATACAGCCACAATGGTATTACCGATAAATCACTGGCAACAAAAAGATCCAAAATGACCTCTGAGGGCTCACATGCAGCACTGTAAGGCAAAACCCAAAATGAGAGCTGCATGTTCAGCACCTGCAATGGCATAGAGAGCAAAATGGGGCCTGTTTTTTTCCATCCAAAATATAAAGAAATTATTAGTATGTTTATTATTCAATATACTGCTTAACTCCTTTGAATTTATAAAAGCAACACTAAGCTACTATAGAGCAATCCATAAAAGTAAAAAGAAAACTACACCCACATTTTACTCTCTTGTACCAAGATCAAACTCAGGCCTTTACCTTTCACTAACAAGACTAGAAACAGAACATTTTTGAGACTTGGCATCAATTTCTGTTTTGAAACACCAAGTGAGATTCAGAGTCCTACACAGATGATTTGGATCTGCTCAGTGGTGTCAGCTATCAGCTGGTTTCTGTACACCCCTCCTATATTGTTCTCCTCATGCCTTCAAGGCTTGTTCGATGCCTCACAAGTGGATCATAGAACCATCAAACGCCTGGGTTGGGAGGGACCTTAAAAATCATCTCATTCCAGCCCCCCTGCAGTGGGCAGGGACACCTTCCACTGGACCAGGCTGCTCACAGCCCCATCCAGCTCATGGGTGATGACACCTCTATCCTTCCTCTTGCACTTAAGGTTGATTATAGCACTGCTGTGCCAAATATAATCCACATTTCTTCTTCTTCTCCTCACACAGCTGCAAGGACTGCCAGTGAGAGAGGGAAGAAGCCAGCCCACCCCCAGGCCATGGTGCGTCAGTGCCGTGCATCACCAATGGCAGCATCACCCACACACACGGAATGATGACAGCCCAACAGAGGTGAGAGTCACCTCGTTCCTCTGTCGTGCTGTTGGAAGACATGCTAACAACACAGAGGAGCAGATTTTTGAGGAAATAGTTCTGGTAAAGTTTCTTCAGAGAACTAGATGTGGACCGAAAATGATTGTGTGGCCTTTTTGTTTGACATCATTTTGTTTGGCTTTTAAAGTACATGTTTTTCTGGTTTTAGGAGTGTTTGTGACAACATTTATGATTTGCATTTCAGCTACTATCAATAAATCTGTGCTGGGCATATAAGTACTTCTAAAAACATCATAGATTTCTCATTAAACTCTTCCCCTTCTATGGAAGGCATTTACCTCTTCCAGACAGTCCCTCTGCTTTGTTGTTATGATAGCTTTGTGCCATGCAACTTTCTTCAGCTAAAAGAAAAATATTCTCTTCATCTTTTTCACTCACAAGGACATGTCCACAGTCAGGAGCAAATCCATGGATGCCAAAACACAATGGAGAGACGTTGACACTAGCTGTGACTAATAATAAGAGACATTCACTGTTGGCTTAAGGCTGTGCTTTATTCAATGTTCTCTAAAACACTTTAAGACTGCCCTGGTTACTTCTAATTAGAAAAGTAAGGCTCATAAAAAATGTTCTTTATAGCAACCTATTCAGAGATTTTTATTTCTTAGAATATTGACATTTTGGGATTACATTTTTCTTTATAGGAGATGTTGGACATTAGAAGAGGTATTTTAATCATGAAACAAGAAGTTAAGTTCACAGTCACACCATGCCAATCCAGCCCATGATGAGCTCCAGAACTGTACTTTGAACATATGTGGTCCCAAGAAATTCACTCACTGTCTGTGCCTCATTTTTCTCCTACAGGGAAAAAATATTGGCTGAGTAGTTCTTGCCCACACAATTTGTTGTCTGGTTGTAAGAATAAGAGCATGTATTTTTAAGGTATGTGTGCCAATCTATATTTACATATGTTGTTATCCAAAGTTTTTGTTACTTTCCTGAGCTCTGCTTGTGCTCTGCTTTGACTGACTCATGCTGCTCACTCCCACACCACATTTTGTCCATGCCTCACATCAGGACAGCACCTAAGAAACAATAGCATTTGACTTAGTGATGGGGCAACAAGCCATGTGCTGATGTCTGTATGTATGTATATATGTATACAAGTCAGGGTATGGTTCTCCTGAACCTGTTGCAGCTCTAGGCCAGACTGCTCAAAGCTGCATTGCAAAGCAGTGGCAGATTGAAACAAAAACCCCAACACTCCTGTCTGCCAGACCACTGCTCACTCTCCTGGGCTGTTTTAGCCTAGTAAAATTAATTCTGCAGAACACAAGTAAATTTATTGTGAAACAAGGCAAAGGAGTATAAAGATACACTCTTCAAGTGACAGCAGACTCCCTGGACCCTCTCTGTTTGGGTTGTCTTTGCTGCCATAGTGACAAGAAGTTACTTGCACAAGGTATTGGAAACACCAAAACCTTCTGTCTCCTGCATTAACAGGGACAGATTAACACTATCTCAGTGCTGTTCATTGCTCCTCCGTGTGAAATGAGTGTGCCAGCAGTGATTCACTCACTGTGTCTGAAACAACCACTCACCCTGCCCGTCCCAGCAGTGCTCTAAAACCTAACCTGGGTGTGCAACCAAAGTGAGCTCACAGCTGCTGCTCCTCACCCCCATGCAACCATCACATTCCCCTGGGCTCTGTGCAGTGTTCTTCCTGATGAGGTGGGGTACATCAGCCTTTGGTTGGGGAGGAGTCTGCCTTAAAAAAAAACCAAAACAAAACAAAAATAGCACCTCAGGGTTAACAGGCAGAAGCAGCCCAGCCCCTTGAGTTCAACTGATAGCACCTGTGACATCTTTGCCTGTCCTGAGAGGCAGAGCACAGATATTGCCTTCTGCAGAATTATGTTTATCCTTGTGGCCATGGCAATACGTGGGGAAAAAGCCATAAACAGGACTGCAGGAGCAGTAAGATGAAGTTAGAATCTTGGTAAATGGTGAGTGCTGCTAATGTGTGGTTCTGCCCAGCATCTCTAGAGACAATCAGGAGCTGTCCACTGAAGCACAGTCCTGGTGCCTCCTGAAAAAAATCCCAGGAGATGCTCTAGGATATTAGCAAGCCTTCATTGCAAATGGTTTGCAAGGTAGGTCATTGTGTATCACATAAAATAGTATCTCTAATAAACCACTGGCAACTTTAATTTTGTCTCCATCTTACAGAATAAGTACCAGCATCTATCAACACTTTCAGAGGAGTTTACAGGCACTCTGTGAGCTGGAAATCAGCCAGCAGGGCTATTCTGAGATTGGTGATGCCAGAAGGGAAATAACTCAGATGGGCCTTTCTGAGGAGAGTTTCAGTGTATATTGTGGCCTGGCTCAGATCCAGGGGCCACAGTGCTGCACCAAGGCTGAGCAGTGAGACAATTCATCCGTTTGACACTCCAGAGAGATGCATTTGAGGGTAGAAAACCTGATTTATATTTTATAGTGGACGTGTTTCTCCTTCCCATTACTCAACATGCAGCAGCAAAGACTTTTTAAACTCTATGTTAGAGAGATTACTCTAAAGTTATGCATTGTTTTTCCCCATAATAGCTGCCAAATTAAGTTCCTTGAGGGATGAAATCACTTTAAAAATCATGTCTTTCACTGGGCAAATTTGTTCATACAGACTTCCATGTTGCTATGACCCAACAACCATGGCATGTGTGGTACCACAGAGGTGACAGCAGGTGAATTCCTAGAAATTCAGACAGTGTGTTAGGCTCTGGAGGTGGGGAACACATTCTGTGCTGCCAGCTGCCAAGTAGATCTCACTCTGTAGCACATCCCATCACTGTATGGAATTTCTGCCTAGGCATGTCTGGTGTCACCTGCCCCACTGTGCCCTGAACACCGACTGAAAACACTGAAGAAATTCACAATTAAGCCTCTAGATCATCCTTTCTGCATAATACTTGTGTAAGCCCCCAAGGGATGTCATCTTCTGGGAGGAAATCACGGGCTATTTTCACCCCCAGGGAAGAGCAATAAAGACAGAATATTGCTCACAAATCTCCAGTTCTGTAGCACCAAAGCATTCATGAACTCTGAAGTTATCTCTTTATCTATCATATACATCCAGTTCTCATAAATAGTTCTCTGCAGTATCCCATCTTGCTCCATTAGCTCCATGGAAGCATGTTACTGCTAAAGTTTTCATTTAGGCTCCTCTTTTACAAGCTGATATTAGATGGTATGGATAGACTCCCTTACCATTCCTTATCACAGCAAGTGTCAGTGTCCTTTTCAGGTCAGTCAAAATACATCCAATAGAACAATTTTCCAGTAGAAAGCTACTTTGAAAGCCCCCAGTACATAAAAATTTTAATGGAAAAAATTATTTCCTAGAGAATTTTATGAAAAGTGAAACACCTCTTTCTAATTTATTAAGGACAAGAAAGGTAAAGTTTAAAGCTCAGAAAGGGCCGAGACTAATAAAAGCAAGCCTGGAGAGGAAGTTCCATATGTTTTCTTAGAAAAATCCAGATACAAGAACTGACATCCTTCAAGACTGGAAGGGTTTCCACCCTGACTATCTGTACTCGAGCTGGGGAACGGAATGTTGAAGGCAGGGCAGAAAAAGAAGAATTTTATGCAATCCTCAGCAGAAATCATTACCTTCAAGAGACATATTTTTCTTTCACTGCACATTTTCTTAACCCACAGCACACAAAAAACCTTTTTCATGTTACTTCTTTGCAATATTTCAGACAAGGATGGAGATTTTTAGGCAGTTTTGCCAGAGCATCAAAATCAAATGTGTCACTGGATAAACACACACTTAAAAGTGAACATTCTGTAAATACATACAGAAAAAAAAATACACCCATATATATGTACATGCAAAAACCAGAGAAAGACAGATAAAAAATATAAGATTAAAACCTGCAGTTCTGTACTCTGCTCTTGTGGTTTAAGTTAAACAAGTTTTATAAAATTGGTTGGACCTAAAGAACACTACTTTCTAAGAGTGATTTGTTTTCAATGCTAATGCAATTACTCCTCTTCTTTTCCTCTAAGCAAAGTCTACTGCAGTATTGGAAAAAAAGAAAGATGAAACCCGCAAAATCAGTCCCAGCTGCCTAATCTAACCCATAATTGCAATGTGTAGATTCCTTTGACAGAGAAGGAAAAAGGACAACTCCATCAAAAGGAAGCATCTATAGGAAGGAGAGTCAACCTCCACTGAGTCATTTCCAGAGTCCTCCTAAGAGAGGTGCTGTTTATAGATTAATGGCAAGTCCCCATCATTCAGCTAAATGTTTCGCCACCCAGAACCATATAGATTAATGGCAAGTCCCCATCATTCAGCTAAATGTTTCGCCACCCAGAACCCTGCCTGTTTCTCAGTTTGACAGTCTGGATGTGAATTAGCATTTCTTGCACTTGGAACTTGTTTTTAACCTTCAGCTGTTTAAAAGATGTGAGGTGGAGTCAGCAGAAGGTGGATTCAGGTTCTTCCTCAGCTGTCAATTCATACTTTCTGTGACTCAGCTTATCATATTTTCTCAATGGTATTTGAGATACTCATTTCGGAGTCAGAACCCACGGTTGCATGGTCCTTTTGGCTACCCCTTCACCAACAGATGGTAAAAAAAAGCAACCTCCAAACCCTTAGGGAAGTCATGAATTACTTTTTGTGAGCAGTGCCATTTGGAAAATGTCACTTTAACAGAGGATAAAGTTCTGCTCTTACATAGCTTATGCTTCTGCATGTGCTTCAGAGCCAACAGCAACATCAAACATCTACTTCTGAAAGAGCAATTTATTTCCCTAAACACATTTTTCCATAAGCCTAGACTTTTCATCCATTTTAGGACTAAAAAAGCAGTATTCAATAGATGCAGAGTCAATTTTTGTTATGCAAATGACGGTATTGTCTTCGTCAGTATTAAAATCTCAGCCAAAAAAAATGCCACAGGTCAATGCTTAAACCACAGGAAATGATCGATTTTTTAATTACAACAGCATTGCAATTATACACTTATCTAAGACTCTTATTACTAGATACATTCTTGTAAAGGAGACAGCTGCCTGCAGGCTGAAATTCACAGCTAAGCTCCAACTACATCCCTTTCCATCAGATTTGCAAAAGTCTCTGACCTTCACTGAACAGACAGAGCAGGGAACTCTTC